TTTTAAAAAACTGACTTAAAATTGTTATCAGAGGAAGCTTCTGGAATTTTTGATGTGAGGGGTTTTTGATTAGATTTGGGATTTTACGATTTCTCCAAACGAATTCTCCAAATAGCACAACGATTTCACGATTTCTCCAAATATCACAACGACCGACCCTATTTGAATAAAAATTTTACAGCTGCACTTAAATCTTTGCAAAAAAAACATGTAGAACTACCGTTTTTGGCATATTTTTTGGCTCTTCTTCAACCCCATCTTTGATTTTGGTTTATGAAAATTACTATACGTTGTCACAATGCATTGAAATGTTGCACTGTGAACAATCAAACAATTGTGATGTGACCATATTTGTTTTTCATTCCTTTCATAGTAACACTGCGCATTTAACCACAAAAACACGTAAAACAGTTCAAAAAAGCATAATTTGAAATATTGGGGAGCGGAAAACAGACGAATGATTTTACTTTTCATAGACCGAAGTTGATTCTATCTCAGGTTACGAGGCCGCGAAATACTCTTGAGCTCTCAGCAGAAGATATGGCCGTCAAGACAAAAAATGCCCATGGACTATTAAAAGCTCTTTTTTTGAGCAGCACTAAATTTTGGTTCAAAGTTATCGGGTCATAAAAAAGTGTTTCTCGGATTAATGGGTTTGTTCCTTCTAGTGTTAACTTTATCTAACTTTTTTGGTGCTCCATTCATGTAGTTTTTTCGTCTCATTTTTCGAATATGTCGTAGCACATTGCAAGTTTGCTTTACGATAACGAAATAACTCTTAACTAAAAATAAACTTACAAATAACACTAAAAAATTATATTCAAAAAACGTGGTATATTTTCTTTATAAAATTTACGGATAAATGAAATAAAAAACTTTTCATAAAATTAAAGTGAACTTGTCCGTTTTAGCTTTCATCCAACCAATGTATGCAGATATTCGGGTACGTTCACTGTCATCAATGCATTTATTTTTTCCAGAACTGACTGTTCCATAGACGCATTTTGCTTTTCCGCTGGTGCTCATTGGGAAAAGAGGACAACCTGAATTGCCCATACATCTTCCATTGTATGGCCCTGTTGACTCGATTGTTTTTGACTCGAAAAAACAGACTTGATTTTTTTTTAAAGTTTTCTCGGATTATAATTACTTTAAGTTTCCCTCAGCTTCGTTGCTTGGATTACCTTAGCGTTGATTTTAAGATTTACGCCAGTGTATCCAAGACTGCAAACAGCAAAATCATAGTCTGAGGTTTTGTTAATGTTCGTGCACAATGCAATTGAGCGACTTTTCAAGCATCTGATCAGCTTGATGAGACCAATGTCGTTGGCGAGAGACGTACTATTATACCTTAAGAGCAGATAAATCATTAAGTTCTCCATCTCAATGAAACTTTCAATTCACTAGCTTACATGCACCTTTTTCAAAAGGCTTGTAATTTTGAACTCAAAGACTTGTAATAACTAAGTTTGAAGAAATGAGGTGAGACACAAATTACTGAGTTTGGATTAATCTTAGTTAAAACTATTTGCCCGCCCTCCATGAATGACCCACTGATTGTCACTAATTTTAGTTTTTTTGTTAATAGCTATTAGTGAGATCACCAACTTTCGTTTGTTATGAAGTTTCCAGGACTGAAACTAGATTTCCTCCATGGTAGTTTTTTTAAATAACGTTTGTTTTATTTTTGAAGTAGAAATCGGTTGAAAATTCTGATTTAGAATTTCCACATAATGCGGAAAATTTCTTTTGTAAGACATTTCAATCGCAAGTTACAATTAGGCAAACGATTTATCAACAAACTACTCACCACCTTTCTCAAGACAATGTGCTGCTGTGAGTACATATCGTGAGCTGATGATAAATCCTCCACTGCTCAGTATGGAGAATGAGTAGATGCTGCCCTTGTTAACCTACAAGGAGACATTAGGAAAATCATCATCATCTTATATTAGCAATCCAATTTATTGGGATTTTTCTTAATTTAATCTACAATTCAATTTCGTTTTTAGAAGATTACTTAAAGTTGCCATAAAGAAAAGGCTTTTTTTCAAGCGTAATCTTTGAATTTCAACTTTGCAAAAAAAAGCTCTTTTACCATCGTCATAATGCAATAAAACTCAATATGGTGAACAACTAACTACAGTAAGCAGATTTTTTCTATATCTTACATAGTTTGTTTATCCAACGTTACACGTAAAACATCAAAAAAGGAAGAAATTTTGGAAGGTCGGGGTAGGGGGAGTGGAAGAGCCACAATGTTTCGAAGGGAAAAGAAACATAATAACTTTTTTTGAAAAATTTCCTCTAGAAGTCAATCGTTATAAAATCAACATAGTTTATGGATTAAAAAATTTGGGAAAAGAAGCCGACAAAATTAAAGCCAAACGAACTCATAGCCAAAAATCTAGCAAACAATTTTGAATCTGATAAAATAATATTCGGCAACTCTTAACGTAAGCAAGGCCAATTAGTTAATCCTGCTCTTACTTAAATATGCGTATAAACCAATGGGTCTGCAATATACTGGTTACCAATTGACCATTTTGTGAACAAAGTTGCTTCCGGGAAAAAAGTCTGGTACCCGATTGCAAAACCCTTGCTTATCGGAAGGGTAATTATGAAAGATCTTTGGAGAGTTAGTGTTTAATAATTGAGTTTTTACACAAATGACCTGAGTTTTTTTTAATTATCGGTTTTTTGAATCTGATTAAATAATATTCGGCAACTTTTAACGTAAACAAGGCCAATTAGTTAATCATGCTCTTACTTAAATATGCGTATAAACCAATGGGTCTGCAATATACTGGTTACCAATTGACCATTTTGTGAACAAAGTTGCTTCCGGGAAAAAAGTCTGGTACCCGATTGCAAAACCCTTGCTTATCGGAAGGGTAATTATGAAAGATCTTTGGAGAGTTAGTGTTTAATAATTGAGTTTTTACACAAATGACCTGAGTTTTTTTTTAGTTATCGGTTTTTCTTTTTTCAAAGGCCACACGATTAGTTGAAAGTAAGATAAGAGATATTTGAAAAACAGTCCATGAACGCAATCAAAGAGAAAAAAACGGACTACTTTCAAACAAAAAAGAGCATCAAAGTTCTTTGATTTTCTAGACCAATTATTATTGGATCCATCTTTAACAGTGTTTTATTTACGCTGGGAAACTGGGAAATTTACGAATTTTTCAATTTTTGTCATAGTGGAGTTTGCTTTTCCTCGACCAAAAGAAATGAACTGAAATTAAAAAGAAATGAAAATTCAAACCGCAAAAAAATCAAAATAAGAGTTTGAACTTTGTTCATCGAATCTTATTAATCCCGTAAAAAGTAAACCAACAGCACCACTAAGGCCGAATAAAGCCTTTAGGAAAAACTACGCACGAATTCTTACAAATCAGGGCTAGTAATATTAAAAATTACCGGATTCAACAAACTGTGCAATTACATAAAAAAAATTACTGACAGCTCAAGATATATCGGTGAATTTGCAACTAAGCCGATGAAATTAGCAACTAAAAAATGCAACAATTCAAGTTTTCCCGGAATTTCATAAACACTGGAAAATACAAGGACCGGTAGGAACTCAAACCCCCACACTAGAGCGCAAAGTTAACCGCGTAACTTGTTTACTAATGAAAATGGGCCTTCAAAATGTTCAGGTTGAATAATAGAGCATGTTCAATTTCTTACAGAAAAATTGTCTACGGTTGAAAGAGTCTACGAAAAAAATGAGAACCAAGCGTGAACAAGTTTTGAGGCTTTCTCCTGAAAAAAAAACCACAAAGAAAATCACCAAGACCTATGTAAGAGTACTCACTACATTTATTACTCTTAACATCCCTTCCAAATACAAAAAAAAAACAAGTACTGGCAACTCGGAAAAAAAATCCGTGAAATAGCAACTATGCCGATGAAACCAGCAAAAGGAAAATGCGACATTTCAATTTTTCCATGAAATTCTTACATACTAAAAAATCCAAGGTCCGGTTAGGATTCAACTCAAACCCCTCACATTAGAGCCGAAAGGCATCCGTTTTACCTGCAAGCCGAGAGGGAAAAAACTGACTTGCTTATCAAAATTCATTGAAAACTATTTATGGGCTTTATAGATTTTTTGAATTTCAAGAGCAATTTATGATTGCCACTTCTTGATAAAACTAACCCAATTCGAGAAACCTGTCTCACTATTCAAGTTTTCATTCCAGTAGGAAATATACTAAAATCTATTTACGAAGTTTAAAATCAATCGCATGTTTGTGACCTTTACATTTCTATTCGATAATGGAGTTTGCGCTCCTTTTAACAACTAGAAATGAGAAATTAAACAGCAAAAGTCAAAATTTAGCGTGAACACATTTTAAGACTTCTTCCTGAAAACAACACAAAAAGCATCACGACCTTTATTTCAGTCTTCATCCAGTACATGCATCGACTCCCATTAATCAAAGAAATAATTGAGAGTTTGAGAAGTGTTTGTGAGCTCAGGAAAACCAAAACGATTGCCGAGGGAAAAATCTTCAAGAAAATTATATCCTACCTAAACCTCTTCGATTTTCAAGAACTTCTTCCCTTTTTATATCTATTTTTAACGGTTATGAGTTTTCTCTAGGGTCATCCGTTTTGCCGGGCAATTTGAATTTTTGATATCGTAGAGCGTAACTTAACTTCCTTTTCAGAAATTTTCTTCAAGTACTTGAAAAATCAAACCACCAAAATCATATTTGGCTCTTTAGACCTTTTCTCAAAAAAATACATGAGCTACATAATATGTCGTCAGTTCGTTAATTTACACTTCAAAATTCATGGTTTGCCGACCCGAATAGTTTCTAGCGCTTAGTTCAGCACAACCGTACGTGTTCAGTTAGAACTATTATAACTCTCTTAGTTAAGGCTATGATTGATTCGGACATTGTTTGCGCAGCGTAAACCAAACGAACCTTAAAGCGCTTCTTGCTTTTTAACGACGACTTGAACCTTATTTGTGAGGATGAAAACTGTCATGCAGAATAACTGAATTGGTACGAACAACTCACAGACGATGAATATACTTGGAACATCAAAAAGTTGGTCGGGATTTCAATCTCTCAGATAGCTCATTTCACAGCGATGTTGGTCACAATTACTGCACGAAATGTTAAGTGTTGTGATAAGTCTTTTTATTTCTACTTTCATAAAAAGTTCAAGTCAGGTCTCCTTAAAACTGAAGATTAAAATCTCGTTTGCTGGTCTAGGTTTGGGATGTCCATCATCAGAATCTTTTGTGAGAATGACCACCTCTGGAACCGCCACCGAATCCTTAAATATCAAATAATTTATTAGATACTTTTTGCTAATTTAGGGTGTGTTGTAAGCTTTGCATAAAACGCCCTTCCTTTCTCACTCCATTACAATGGCAAAAAAACGCTTGAAATTATTGCTGTCCAGAATGACAAACATCGTTTCCTCAACAAATTTTTATCGACTTTACAGAAATCAAAAACATGGAAAATGTAAAAGTGTTTCCATGTAACTTGATTGTTAAGTCCAAGTGAAACCGGAAACCATTTCTCATAATTGGGTTTAAGTTCCTCGTCTTACCTCCTGTTCTTGGTTTGCCGTGGTATCCGCCATATTCTAAAACAAAAGAAGAAGGTTCTAGAATGTTCTTATAGCATATAAAAATATTCTAAATTAAGTAGCACAAATTGTCCCGACCACGGTTACTAATGCAAAACTGGAGATGTTCCGGATTTCGGAATCCGGTTCCGGCAAACTTTACAGTTGATTCCGTTAAAAAAATACCGGAAAAATCCGGAATTTCGTGAAGGATTTTATTACCTCCGACCAAGAAACTAACTTTTAAGCATTTGAATTATTGAATCAAAAATAGAATGTTATCATGGAGCAAAACCAACTTTTCCGATAACTCCGGAGCCAATCTGTTCCATATAACGGAAATAACGTTGCTTCATAAAGCAAAGTGAAACACAGCTAATCGACTTAAATACATGCATTGTGCAGTTAGTCATCAGCACCATAAACAAATTCCGGATTCCTGAATCCGGCAGTTGAAAAATCCGGAGTTTCATCAGGGTTTTGAATTTTCGGCAAAATCAATTTCGGTTACACCTCTAGCAAAAAAAATTAAATGAATTATGTCCTCAAAAAGATTCTCTGAAATATAGTTCGTGAGAAATATTTAAAAATATCTCTAATAATACCAACCTTGACCACTATGCGAGCTTTCTGTAACGTATTCAAAGTTGGCTGGAAAAAAAGCATCCTACGCCATAGTTACTTCCACTCTACAAGTGGTCGAAACAACAATTCAAAAATGTTTCCGTGCTCTAATCTGTGAGTTCTTATTGACAAACTTGAACGAAAAACTTCACCATCATAGAGTTGGAAACGAGTCAATGATCGCAAAAAAAAACGAAAAACTGCCTTTTTCTATTGAATAAATTACAATTTCCAAAATCAAAGAAAAAATACAAGGCGTCAAAGCTCTCTGATTTTCACAAACAGTTTAAAATAGGAATTTTCGTTGAACATAACCCAATTGAGAAAACTGGATCAAGCAATTAACTTTTTATTCCGACGGGAATTGTGAATCTGGAAATGGAATTTGCCTTCCTTTACGCAAATCAATTTCAATCGAATCGCGAAAAACCAAATAGTCAAACCTCGATAAATCAAATTTGAGTATTGCGTTTTTGCTGAAAACAAACAACACGAACTAAATAAGTGAATAATCGTTTCGCTTATTGACACTTAAAAAGAGAGCATGAACAAATTGAACAACTTTCCCGAAGAAAAATATACCACCCGACCCTATGAGTGAAAATTCTTTTTGTTCATTGAAACTTCACTCGTTCATATTCATATACTTAATATATTACTAACTTGGTCTTCCGTACGATGTTCTGGACATGTCCAGCAGGTCTCTGGGTACATCCTGGCCTGCCTCCTCCAGTACTTTCACCAGGTCCTTGGCCTTGGGCGCGTTTCCTCTCGTGAAGAAAGTATGGGCGTCTCCTTTGGCGTCACTCCTCGCCGTTCGGCCGATTCTGTGCACGTAGTCTTCCGAGTTGTTGGGGTAGTCGAAGTTAATCACGTATCGGATGTCCCGAATGTCTAAATGACGTCATAAAATGAGAAAACGAACACGAAAAATCATCGGTAAAATATAACGCCCATTTAAAACCACCACCTGAAGAAAAGAAAAAACGGCATCTTAAAATAGCTTAAAACATACAAACATTTGATTTTCTTGATCCATTTTCAATTTATCGATTTAATACTACTAAAGAAAACATCCTATTTCTTCAACAAATTTTTAATACTGAGACGAAGCTGAGCTTCGCACCACTTGCGATACAAAAGAAAATCCCCGAATAAAAAACAAAATAAAACATTATTGCAATTGTTATGAAAATCAATTACCTGAAACATGAGACGAACTCGGGCTACACAAATTTCATTCACTTCTTTCTCATAACCAATAGATTGGAACGCTCACAAAAAAATTGGCAAAAAATCGAGATCCAAAAAGTTCCTAAATGAACTCAGAAACTTTTCGTAGGTTTAGTAAGTAAACAATCTGCTTGTCCTGCAAAAACAATTGGCTATAAACTCAACAAGAAAATTTGCCATAAACTAAGACCAAAGTAACGAAACAAATTGAAAAACAAACCACAAAAAATAAATGTTAAAGTTTCCAAAAAAAACATGAAATTTCATTTTTTGTAACGTCAGACAGAAATAGCTACACTGCTGAGTTTCGTACAAGAATCATCACATTATTTGGTACAAAACACAGCTAAGTTAAACTTGCAAAAAATAACAAGACTGTTGGAAATTTATGATTTTTTTTTCGATAAAATTTGGCATGAAAACAATACGCTATGCAATCAACTTGAATCGATTTCAAAAAACTGTTCAATCCTAAAATACACCCATAAGTAAAATCAAACTAATTCCACGCACTTTCAAATAAGAAAAATCATATACCTGGCATCCGAAAAAACTGAAAAATTACTGCAACATTTTCAGAGTTCATAATTAATTTCCAACCGAAAATTTTGGCGTATATAAAAAACCAAGACTCTATTTACCATCTTAAAAAATTGAAGAAAAAAGTACTTAAGAAATTTACCAAAAATTAGAGATGAAACACCCGGCGAATACTCCGACAAAAATTGCGACAAAATCATTAAACCGACAAAAAAACACCTATTATCTGTAACTTTTGCGCGATCTAGCTAGGAGCATAAAAATTAGGTTTTTATGAAACACCTCAAATTTAGTTCCCTAAGCCGATAAACCATAAACAAAATCATTTGGGCAAAATAAAGTTCTCAAGCAAAAACAAATAAAGTATAAGAAGTCAAGACTAGTGAAATTATAACCAGCAGAAGTAAATCAAAACACTAAAACAACAACAATGTATTCCGCACAGCAAAAGAAAAACAAATCTACGATGTGGCAACTAAGCCGACAAACATAAGCTGGCAAATAATATGCAGGCAATTTTTCTGCAACGGAATAGTTCCCGTTTGATAAAAAGTCCAGTCAGAATTGAACCCAGGACCTTTGCCGTCTCAGGCGGATTCGTTACCTCCAGACCAAGAATGCCGTAGATTCAAAGTAATTTGAATTAATAATGAAATGAAACCATTTTTGAATTTGAAATTTGAATCTAAAATGCACTGAATCATTCGATGAACATTGTTATTTACGGGAAAATTCTAGTAACCCATTGCAATACCCGTGTTGATCGCAAGGGTAAACAACAAAAATGATTTTAAATGTGGAAAAATCACTCGGAATCACTTGTTTTATTTTCGGGAAAAAAATCTGCTTTCATATCGTTACCATACCGTTTTGCAAATTAAGCCTCACCATGAGGCATGTTTTCCATGATTCCCAGTTTCTCAAAACTGGGACCCAAAATTTCCAAGGCCTCCGTAATTAGAGCCCAATTCGAACCCTCAACATGCACCGCGCTCCCGACTGGCTTTTAACTTCAGCAAGGAAACTCCCACTCGATTCGCACTCCAGAACGAGGTCCAGAGAACCCCAGATATGGCTTTCTGGAACCCCAGGGTCCAGGACTTGCAGACATCCGGGAACTCGGAACAGCCAGGTTGCCCGTTGTGTTCCCGGGATATGTCGGCGGTACCCTTGCCAAAGCGAAGCCAGTGGAAGCTATGCGGTGCATCTGTTACATTTCGGCTGGAAACTAACAGACAACAAGGCTCGTGGTTTCCCACGGTGTAGGAGTTTAAGCAACCCCGACCTCGTTGCCACCTGTAATTGATCATCAAATGAGACGAGTATTCAAAAAAGGCAGCAATTGATGATGAATCATCTACTGTATTTGTATATTGCGTAGTAAGGGCAATTGGTTATACCGTTGTTGTTAAGTCCTCTACTTACCAATACCGCGCGACGCAACATCAGTGGCAATCAACAAGGGTTTTCGACCGTTTTTGAAATCTAAAACACAAATTAATACATTAGTTGACTGCGTACAACTTTCAACGGTAAATTACTTTATCTTTGTACTGTTTAATTACTAAGAAAATAGCAGACAAACAGTTGAAAAAGTCAATGAACGCAAGAAAACAAAAAATATACTGACTTGTCTTTTGAAAAAATCTCAACTTACGAATTTCAAAGAAAAAAATAGATTGACTTAAAGCTATTTGAACTACTATGGTTGACACTTGAATTTTATGAGAGCATTTTTTACATGAAACTAACCAAATTTGAGAAAACTGGATCAATCAGTAAACTTTTCATTCCACTGAAAAATCTTAAACTTCAAATCCACTTTCAAAACTAGAAGTCGATCACGTTTTTTTGTGACCGAGGAAATGAACTTGTGACTGAGGAAAGTTAACAAAGGAAACGAAATTAAGTTTAAAATAAACCAAAAGTTAAACCGCGAAAAATAAATTTGAGCCTTAACAAGTTTTAAGAATTTTCCTGAAAAAAAAAACTAAAAATCAGAGCGATGTATTTGAGAGTCTGAACTACGTTCATCGGCTCTTAAAAAATATTAACTTTCGAATTTCACGAACTGCATAATGGTCTTCATTGAATTATCGACTCTCAAAAACGTTTCTGACATCATAAAATGAACTGTATAATGGTCTTCATTGAATTATCGACTCTCAAAAACGTTTCTGACGTCATAAAATGATCTAACATACCTCTAAGAGCGTGTTCTCGTTCTGCTTGAGATTTATCTCCGTGCATTGCAACAACTGGGAACCTAAAAGAAAAGCGCTTGATTGATGCATATCTGAAGACTATGCTAACTGTTGACAATCGTTTAGGACAGTGCATAAATAGGTTTAACAGATGAATTCCCAATGATTGTCAACAGTTACAAGTGGGTTCAGATAAATGTTCAAAATCATTAGGACAATAGATAAAATAGTTTCAGTTACCAAAAAATCACTCGAGAGCAAGGCAACTAAAATACCCAACTGCAACCTCTGATACTATCTGAATCACCTTGGTTCAGCTAATCTTTTGCCATTTTTCATCAGTATATGTCATTACCTGTCTCCACTGAGAGTACGACACAGTCCCTCCGCTCCTCGCTTCGTCTCCACAAAGATGATCGTCTTGTTCTCTTTCTCTCTCATGATGTCGTCCAACAATTTCACGAGACTAAACCAACCAAAATTTTATCACCTACAAGCTAGCCGACAAAAACTCGACAAAAGCCAACAATTCGACAAAAAAAACTGTTTAAAAATGTGAAAAAAATCACCCAAATACATTTGTCTCGATTTTATTAGAAGTTCATTTTTTATATAAACATGCCAAGAAAAAATGTTGAATTAGCATTGGAAAAAAAATTGAATGAGCATTAACTAAGCCAAAAGTAGTTGTGGAGTAAAAAAAAAACTAGATTGCAAAAACTAACTAGCAAAAAAAATTCCTACGTATACATTTTTTCTGTATACGCAAGATACTTTGTTCAACTTTTAATCCAGAGACGCAAGATAAAGCGACTAAGCCAACATACTATACCACGTACATAAAAATCCGAAGAAATTTTTGAAGGTTTCTAGTGGGACTCTACCTTTGTCGTCCCAAGTGTACATATTTTTTTCGCAAGATATTTTGTACCATTTGCACAGCAGCTGGCTACTCTTCTTTCTCCAGTTTTAATGAGCGCACAACATAACATCACTTACCGTGTTTGTTTCTCTCGCTCATCGACCATGTGAATAACTTGGTTAATCTTGTGGTTCGCATGAAGGTCTTGGGCTCCGATGTTTACTTTTACGTAATCAGTTAGGTAACTGTCAGCCAATTTATGAACTTCTTTGGGCCAAGTTGCCGAGAACATCAGTGTCTGTCTATCACGCCTGGTTTTTGTGATGATATCCTTCATTTGGGGAGCGAAACCCATGTCTAACATTCGGTCAGCCTCGTCCAAAACCAAGAAGGATATCTCCCTTACACTCACGGCGCGCATTTCCATGAAATCCAACAGACGTCCTGGAGTAGCAACCAGAATGTCCACACCTAAACCAATCACAGCTTTTCGAATGAAAATCGAAACCAAATAACCTTTTAAAAAATGACAATAAGAGACTTACCGCCATAAAGAGCGCGTTTTTGCTCATACTTAGAAGCACCTCCGTACACTGTAACAATTTTCAAGTTGGCATCCTTTGCAAATTCTGAAGCAACCTGTGAAATTTGCTGACACAATTCTCTTGTTGGACTCAAAATGAGAACCAATGGATCGTAACTCTTCCTCTTGTCTTGACTCTTAATGTGCATAACGGCAGGCAACACAAACTAAAAAACAGAGCGTTATATATTAAGTAAAAAAACACAAAAAACAGCAAATTCAATGTCCATGAATATTTATACTACCGAGTATGTTTTGCCAGATCCTGTTTGCGCCACACCAACCATGTCATTTCCACTGAGGGCCAAAGGCCATGACTGAGCCTGAATGGGAGTGGGCTTTTCGAAATTGTTTCTTCGAATCGGCGCAAGCGCAAACGCTAAAAGCAGTGGTTTGTAATTAGATTTTGGCGTTTCAACCGTTCCACTTTTGATTTTTTTTATTCGTAGCGTATGATACCACAGTCCCATTGTCACAAAAATTTGCATGTGATTTAATGACCCAATTACACATAGATAAAAAAATTATCCATTTTTTCCTAAATGCTTTAAAATTGACAGCATGTACAAACTCGCTTCATTTCAATCCTTCTCATAATCAAACAAAACTTTTTTTGAAGTTTAAAAATGAATGTTCAAAAACTGTATTGATGAATACTGGTTCCATGGAAAACAAAGTAATCAGAAGGTCAAAAGTATCATAGTAACCGAGGTTACAGTCAGGAGTCCTTTCATCATGTATTCCAGTCAAAATCCTAGGAATTTTCTAGATATGGAAGTGATAGTGATAAAAAAGGAGATGATAAGTGCTGATGTTCTTACAATTAAACTCGATATGTGTAACGTTTCTTCAATCAGAACACGCAACTCGACATGAGAAAATACAATATACAAATATAATAGTGTTACAAATAAAAAAAAATTCGTCGAAAGTTGTTTTGTCATTTATTATTTATTGTTTGTATGGAAAACAAACCTGGAACATCCAGCTCTTCGAAAGATTGCACAGGTCTCAAGAAGTCTCTGCCACTTACAGCTATCTCATTCTTCTCCATAAAGTCTTCCACTTCAAGCTAAAGAAGACAAAATGCCGATCACGAAGGACCGGGAGAACACGTTAACTATCACTCAAATGCAGTACTGTCCATCAAAAACTCAATAAATATTTGGCTTGGAAATGAAGGATCTAAATAAATCTTTTTTCAAGATCAGGTACTCATTTTCAAAAAAACTAACGTCACGTCTTCCAGCAGTAATATTGGAGATTTTGTAGCAGTTTTTCTTGATTGGTGAAGATTGAGAATCTCGTTCTTTTCCATGGAAAGAGCTGTCTTTCGATTTGTACTCCCATGTTCTTCCTGATCCCGCTCCTGAGTCATATTTAGTGTACGTCATTGCTGATGGTCGAGCTATTTCGGGTTCAAATATGATCTGAAATAATCAAAAACTGGAGTCATGATTCATTTCAGCTCAAAAACTGAAGTCATGATTCATTTCAGCGGTGAACGGAGAGTCCAAGTCCCGGAAAACCAAGCAATCTTGCCTTTTTGAGCAAAAAGACAACATTTTTTCTCTTTATTTAAAACATGTAAGCCAGCTCAGAAAAAATAATGGTAACCGAAGTAATTAAACTCGTCTTTCATCATTTCACCCAGTCAAAAAACGCTTAAAAATTCATAAATTAGAGAAATGTAAAGGAAGTTTTTGTAAATTCAAACAAACGTTTTCGCACATTTTTGTGCATCTTCAGGTTTTAAAAATTCTAAACTATCTGTACAAAATGATCAAAGATCATAAAAAGTGTCATACACATCATTATTTCAAAATTTAAAAAATTCAACCAATCAAAACTTTACAAATGGGAAGTTTAACGTGGAGGAGAGGAAAGAGTCGAGATTGCTGGTAATGGTTACATATCAGTATTTAGACAACCGCGTATTCATACTGGTCAGTATTTAGACAAATACTGTTTCAACCAATCAGAATCGAGACAAAGAAGAAATTATTAAATAATTATTATTTATTTTGAATTACTTATGTCTTTTCTCGATTCTGATTGGTTCATACAGTATTTGTCTAATTACTGACGAGTATGAATACGCGGCTGTCTAAATACTGGCTGCACTCCGCTGGTAATCAAGTCAATTAGTTTAAGAGCTAACACCAGTACAAAATAAACAGCAGTTGAAAAAATCTCAAAAAGATGGAACTGATGTAATATTCACCCGGAAAGTGCATAACGGCGGAAAGTAAGGTGAAATCCTTTTGCAATTCGACCAGAACGTCGTCATATTATATACTACGAGACGAATTTTATGTGGAAGGGATTGACCATACGATACGTCAATTATGTAATGCTTAACAGAGCAATGATTGAACAGTACCGACCCTTAAGTCTTTTTTTTATGCAGCATATCAAAAGTCCTGGAAAAACTTTTTTTTGATGAATTGTATGACATTGTAAAAAAGCAACTAGACCAATCGCAACACGGATTTAGAAGACATCGGTCAGTTGTTACTCAACTGCTTTTATTTTTAGACCTTCTATACAATGAAGACGATGAATAGGAAAACGTACTATGTGTAATACCTTGACTTCAAAAAAGCTTTTGATAGTGTTCCACACAATTTGGTGCTCCAAAATGTTGCAAAATTAGACATTGGAGGTAATTTTCTCAAAATAGTTACTAGTTACTTTGTAACATTCGTCTACTGCAGTCACACATGAGGCTTAAGAAAAATAGGCCCTATAACCACTGGCTCAAGGGTCAGGGACACTATCTCTTGTGTTTTCCCACCTCAAGAACGGTCGGAGCCAGTTCGGTTCGCTTGTGACATGAGACTACGACCCGTTACAGCTTAAAGGCTACTACTAAAATATCCCCCCACTCTAGAATTAGAAACGTCCCCATACTTAGGTCTCTAGATACCCAAAATACATGAACGCCGTTAAAAACCGGGTTGGAACAATCCGTTAGGTTACTTTTTATTAGACAGTGTGACTTTGATCCATTTCAGATGGATCAACCTAAAACTCGCCTTACCTCAACATAACAATCATAAAACACACTCTAGAATTTAAATTCGTACTCACATATCAGCGCTCTCAAGAGTTGGGAAAATAATCCAGTCAGTAACTAACTCAAGAAATAAATAACTAAGAGAAGTTTAATGTTTTATAGTTTGGACAGCAAGGATAAGTTCATGCTCTAGAATTTGAGTTCTCTTGGACCGTTGGGACACTCCAGTTGTCCGCCTTTCCGCTGAAGGTTCACTCTGGTCCAACTTTAGTAATCGCTCTCTCGGGGATACTCTGTCTTCTATTTCAAGTAGGACAGCTCTACTCTCGTTCACTATGATGGAAATTGCGAATAGCAATTTCCCACTCGTTTTTAATTGACAACTTCCCCGCAATTGTTCTAAAATTGCTCTGATTTCTTTTTCTGATTTTCAGTTATCGCGAGAAAATCGTGCATGACATGTTCCTTTCGAAATTTTGAAAAATTAAATTTCACTTCAAAATCAAGTATTTTCTGCTCTTCTCAAGGTCAAACTTCCAAATATGACCGACTGGCACATACTCCCCGGACTCGAGATCGATGTCCTCATCGCGCGCTGTCTTCTGCCAGTGAGTCCCAGAAAAACCGAGTGTTGCTCAAGATACAGTGCCAGTGGTCATTTACAGAAGTTTGCAGCAGATTCAAGATTATCTACACCCCAAAATTCACGACCATTTAAAATTTTCACACTATTGCTAAACAGCAATCAAAATCTGCATTTACCTGCACCTTTGAATTTTCGCTTTTCAAGCCAATCATTTAAAAATCTCTTTTGTCCTATTCAATCAGGAAATTGTCATGCAGCATTTTGATCTATATAATAGATATAGTATATTAGTAACAATATTTACTTTGTTAAAATTTCTTTTTCGTGAATCCAAGTTTCACTCGGATTCACACTCAAGCCCCCCTTCCCTCTCAAGACTCAAGATCCATCCGATTTGCCCATTCATCTCGTGCTCTTCGCCTTGGAGGTACTGCCTCCTGAAGTGCTAGATGCGGCAAACTGTCTCAACAGTTCCTCTTCATCATCGGAACTAATCACAATCTCCTCCCAAGCCTTCAGCTGTTCATAGGATCGCATCCATTCTCTCTGCTCCTGCAATCTCTTTGCTTGGTTGGGTAGTGCCTTCACCCTAGCTTCTCGGTTCAAGCAAAAGGAGTTGTGCAGGCTCAAGCTCACGTTCTTCGCCAGGTCTTCCTCTAGTATCGACTCCCTCGCTTTGGTGTTGTCTCTAGACATCTTACCCACTCTCTTCCATCCCGTCGTGATCGCATTACGATGGGTTAGCAGGGGTCTCTTGAAAGCTTCCGGCCCAATCTCGGCCTGGAACTGTCGATACTCCTTTTGATGTTTTCTCATGTGATCTTTCGTTGCCCTGTACAACCAAGACGTCAGTGTCGCCCGAAACCATGGAAAGTACCTCAAGCGACTCCATACGTGCCTGACTTCCGTTGGTATGGCGAATACTTTGCACGCAGTCTCAAACAACTCAAGTCTCCTGCTGTAGTCTATCGCGTATATTGACTCAGCCGTTGGCGTCGTCGCCTCCCGATATTTCGTTATATTCTCTTCTATCCATCTCAGAGCTAACATCGTACTCACTACTAAGAGCGTCACCTTCTGCCGGTGATCCGGTAGTCCGATCGACCGAATCTCTTCCACATCCCACACCAGGCAAAGGTTCTTGTGATCTGGATACCACACCGTTTGTGCCAAACAGTGGCATGGGCATTCCCCATGAGAGATCTCAATGCTCCTGAGATTACGCTCCCCTGAGGCTTCCAAGAGAGGCTCAAGCTCCATCATTTTCTCGTGCATCGTGTCGTTGTCTTCCAGGTTCGGAGTACTTCCCACAGGTTTCCCGATCACGTTTTGTCTCTCGTGATCGCTTGTGTTTTCTCTTTCCAACTTCAGAAGATCTTCTCCCCAGATTTCGCTTAAGTCATCTCTCAATTCTTTTGGTACTGTCCCTTTGATTTTTCTCAACAACTTGTGCGAGTGATGCGACATCCGAGCCAACCTCACGCACTTGGGCACTGAGAAGGCCTTGTCCACCAGTATTCTCTGGCTGGACACTTCCACCATCGCCATGTGTAGCGGGTAGTGACTTCCGCACAAGTTGGCCATCATTGACCCTATCAGCGATTTCGCGTTCAATGGCAAGCCATAAGCTTCGCTCAGGGGAAATCCCATTTCCGCCTCAAGACCAACTTTCCAGCTCCGGATGTGTTTTTGAGTCACCTGCAACACCCCGGGCCATGATTCCACGCTCAACGCCGTCACTAAATGATGCTCAGACTCCAGTCTCTCCAGTGCCTGCAGACCACACATTCTCGAGAAGAATCCGAGAGCTGTCGCTATATTCACCGTGGTTCTCGCGTAACATTCCGCTATTATTTGCACTTCACTTTTCTCCCTTTCTGTGATGTCTTCGAACCAAGTGACCAGGTCTTCTTTTTGAAACGACAGTATCCTGACGCATGACCGTCCATCGCAGATGTGCTCTCCGTTCCCACACGTCGAATCCAGACAGCTACCCGGCTCCAATTTCTTTGCTGACCCGGGGTCGCTCGTCCTTTCGCTTGGCTCTTGCATCTGGGGCGTGATTAGCTTATGCAGCACACTTAACTTCGCCAGATCTTCATCTTCCGTTGGTGCTAACCTCACTCGCTCGGTGGTTTCCTCGATTAGACTCGCATGGGGATGTGGACACCAGGAGGGTCTTAGTAGCTTCCATATCACTCCCAAGTTCGTGGTTAACAAGCCATTTCCACCGCCCATGTTTACTTCAACTCTCTTGTTTGAGCGCGGCATGCTTATCACCTCTGGTGTTTTCTCAAGAATCAGGCCCAGGCTCGGCCCCTCTTTCTCCACCGCGTCTATCTCCATTATTCTTTCTGTCCAAAACTTCAGCAGCTCCGCTACCTCATGGTTTCTGTGGGCTCCTCCAGCTTCCGAGTCTAAGAAGGGATTGTAGGCTATTCCCAGCACTCCAGACACGTATTGGTATTCCCCCTTCTCACTGAGTCTCGAGTACTGTTCTGACGAGGCCAGGTTACGGTGAACATCATGTTCTTCCTCGAACTTCTTATTAGAGAACCTCCGTACCTCGTCCAGCTTTCGGTGGCTCTCTAAGGATAGTCTGGAACCATCTTCTTTCTCTATTCCTGTACTTTGATATACATTCAAGATGATCGTTGAGACCCTTCTCTCCATGGTTTTACTTCCACTTGCTCTCTGGTGGCATGCCAGGATGGTGCTATCAGACATCATTGACATTGTCCATCTCAAGAAACATGTGGCATCTTTTCTCCTAGCCAGGCTCAAGCCTGAATTGTCCCTGGCCACGTGTTGCATCAGTGCCTGATACACC